AGAGATAATGTTTTGATAGATCGTTATATATAGAATATGATCTTACTACGTTTCTCACATGCAAATGAGTCACATCATTTTCTAAAACAAACATTACCAACCGAACAAAATTGTCTTTGACTGGTACTGTCTAAAGCTAAGATGCATTCAGGATATCTATAATACTATGCTGGGTGCATCAGGATGTCTACCCTGATCACGTTCTGTAAGTCCACATTAAGGTCCACATTTACTATACCCAAGGCAAATGCAATGAAAATGCGTCTCTCACGCATCCATGAGCAACAATACTATTTCCTAAATGTACTTGTGCACAAACTGATAAGACAATTCCCCCAAAAATTAGAACTAGGTTTGAAGCCTGAGATATGTTTGACCTTTTGTCAATACTGGTGGCATGTAGCCTATGGATATCTATGAGAATAATGTTTGCTTTCTGGCAGTTCATCACCAACCAACTATGAGAACCCCCAATCCGAAGCGTGAGAATTATTATTTAGCACATTTACGTCTGCAGACATCGACACGAGTCATGCTGCCATTTTAGAAGGAAGATACGAACTCCGTTTGAAACTTGAACAAACGAGTTTCCAGTGGCGCAAAGCGACGTGGACATATAGATATCGATTAGTAGACCCACTGAACGTCGATCTGTACACTACTAATTGCCAGGTCTTCAAACGAGGAGATTCCTAGTGTATGTAAATAACCGGGGTTGGGCCGTAACAGACGTTTAAGCGTCGGAGGCGTGAAGGGAATTGCAGCTCCGGCCGCCGGGAATAGTGAGAGAGAGAGAGAGAGAGAGAGAGGGAAGGGAGAGAGAGAGAGAGAGATGTTGTGTCCTGTAGGCACGCAATCAGTGAATCAGTGCTGGACGTTAAGAGTCGGGGGCGTGAGATGGTGCAGCCCCGGCCGCCGGGGGGGAAGAAAGTGGGGGGAGAGAGAGATGTAGTAGTGTCCTGTAGGCACGCACGCTATCAGTGGATGAGTGGATTAGTGCTCGATGCGTGGAGGTCAGTTACAACATCCATCCATGAATGAATGAATGGATGAGTGAGTGAATGAGTGAATGAATGATCTATCATTCTCCTCCTCCTGTGGAGAGGTACACTTTGGCTTGCTGCACTCTGGAGAGGGGGGTGCGACTTTGGTCGATGGGGGAGAGTGCAGGGCAGAGGCAGGGGGGGCAGGGCAGTGGAAGGAAGGAGGGGAAGGTCTGACCTCTTGCAAGTGATGGATGTACTGTGAGTGTCCTTTGGGCTACGGACCTGACTGACTTTTCAGTATTCCAGATCTCCTTTCTCGAAGCACGAGCTTCTTGTGGGACGGGATGACTATTCAGGATACGGAATAGTTTATTGAGATCAGATGGATTTGCTGCATAATGTCGACTGATTGCCTTGAGTCTGGAGGACTTCTGGAGCGAGCGATGAGGGCAGAGAGGAGAGGGCGAGAGGGATATTTCTGGGCGATCGAATGTTAGGCTCTCGTTCTCTCGATCACTGCCTCTCTCCCTTCGGAGGAGTCAGAATAGGAGCAGCGTCGGACGTTTTAGGGTGCGAATGCTGTACGTTTCATGATTATTCAGACTCGAGAGGTACATTTCTACGCCACAGATGTTCGACCGGTTTCTAGAGATGCTTGCTATTCTCCAGTGATTGGGAGATTAGATTTCCCGACGACGAAGCCCGCCCATCTTGGCCTCAGGACAAGATTATATGCTCGGCTCGAGCAGCGATTCTCGACAGACAAGATGCTGTCACATGCGTTCTCCAGAATGCTTCGACGACGGACGCATCGTTCCCCTTCCCACGCCCCCCAGCGCTCCTTGAGGGCAATGCTGAGCTTTTCTCGCAGCGCTACGGCGCTTGGACTTTTATTTGTTTTGCCCCGTGATCAGCCCCAGCCCCAGCCCCAACCCCAAGCCCCACGCCCCCCCAGTCAGCCCGCCCGCCAGCCAGCCCGCCTGCGCTGGAGCCGGCCTTTTCAAAGGTCGGGCTACGCTAGGACTCTTGCGTATGGTGGTGCTACGCTACGTACTTCGAGGGGCTGCTGCCGCCGGAACAAAGTACAGTATTTCGTACAATACCGCATGAGTGCGATACTGTAGCCCCCATTAAGCCCCAGTCGGTGGGCATGCAAACGGCGAGAAGACGAACCATGCTTCGTCTGGTTGGGGGGTAAATTCTGGTCCTTGCGATTACCCGCGTGCGTGGTCACTTGCCTCGTCGTTCTCCGTATGCGAGACGATGCAATGAACCTCGCAGGAGTCCAGCCCCTAGCACCCTCGAAACTTCACGCTCCATGAAGTCCAAGCCCAAGCTCCCCGAGGCGCCTCGAGCGAAAACGATCGGTCCGATGCCCCACCGCAGTCCGCACGACACACACGCCGGAGTCTATCGGACTCTACGTCGCGGCTGAAACCGGCGGTCCCCCAGCGCAGAAAAGGGATTTCAGAGCTGGAAGTACTCGAGTCTCCTACTAGCACAGTAGAGGAGAAGTGTATTCTGCGGGGTAATATAATACACGAGCCGTTCCGATTACCCCCCAAAGTGCCAGACAGAGGGAAGCCCATGCCTCCCCCCCCTCCATTTCATGAGCCCCCCTAGTGGCAACCGTTCATACCCGCAGGAGAAGATCCACCGTGAGAATGAAAAGCGCTAGCGCTAGCCCGGTAAGGGTGGGAAGATGTGCTACCCCTACCCCTACCCCCCTCCTTCATACGCGCAGGTATAATCAACGAACGAACGTACTTGAGTGAGTGAGTGGCATGAACATGAAATTTCAAAACCCGGAGCAACAGGCCCAGGAGCAGGGCAGTCAGAGGGCAGAGAATTCAGAAGCAAAGACAAGAGAATCGAAATTTGCAAGCGTACTTCGCGGCAACTCAGAGCTGGACGAGGACAACCTTCGGAACAGCAGCAGAGCGAGTATTTTCTATCATACGTACCGTACAGGACACAGAATTCGGCCAGAGGGCACGACATGAAACTTTCAACGTAGGCGCAGTCGTAGGCCGCCTCTAATAAGCGACGTCTAGGGGCAGGGGCAGGGGCAGGGCAGCAGTGCGGCTATGTAGCCACAGCATGGCAGCTACTGATACTGCGGCTACTCTACCACTACGGTACCGATTCGTCGCCATAGCTTCGAAAATGGCCTCGGCGAGCTAAAGCTAAAGCTCGCACATACGTACAGGAAGGGCATGACGTGAACTGGCGCTTAGCGTACGTACGAGCCGAGTCCAAAGACAGGAAATGACATGCGACGGAGTCGAGAGGCGAGCTGGGGCAAGACTCATGGGTGGCGGTTGTTAGAATATACCTCGTGCTTGGAATCGGGTAGGGCAGCGCGTAGGGGGGATGAAGGCGTCGCAGTTTCCACCGGGCGAGGACTCGCGGGGGGCGTAGAAAGGGGCGACCAGGGACGACACACGGGGAACTGACGAGGGCCAACGGTGCCTGGGGCTCTCCGTAGAATAGTATCGTCGTCGCAGTCATGGGCGCCCCGAGCAGAGGTACAGTATGCATTGATATCGTCAAAAAGGTAAAGCGAGGGGCTGGACGACGAAGCCCCTTGCCGAGCCGAAGCGGAAACGGAACCCTTCGTTGTGTCTGCGGAGGTGTATCGAACTTCGTGCGGCGCGAAGTGTGGAATCTTTATCGACGCCTCGTCCGTAGAATGGGAAGGAGGGCCAGCGGAAGGGGGTCGGGAGGAGAGGGAGGGGGCAGGGGCAGGGGCAGGGACTGGGACTAGAACGCAGGGGCGTGAACTCTGTCCGTCGGGCGAACGGCTAAGGGCGCGAGGCACACAGAGGCGAGGGAGGAACAAACATTTTCCACATGCACAAATTTGTGCCAAGAGCGAATGAGGGGGGCAAAAAGAAAGAGAGCTGTAGTCCATCCACGCCCGGGGCTGGGGCCCCACCACGGCGATGGTGCAAATAGACCCCCCGCACACAAAACAGCCCCCATTAGATCCTCGCAAGATGCCGAAGCTGAGGCTCTTGTTGCAGGCCCCATTAAAATATGCCCCCTCGAACAGCTTCTGGGTGGGTTACTATGTTCAGTGGGTTGACCCTGGGCTCGGTGGGCTGGCGCGGGTGCCATCGAGGGACTGTGAGCGCGCGCGAGCGAGCATACGGGGCAAGGAGAAGGGCTGCAAACGCAAGCAACGTGGCACATTCGGGCCTCGGCGGGGCCCGGCCCAAGGCGCGCGGGCAGCTACCGCAAAGACGGCGCCCGAGCAAAGAGGGAGTTCGTTTAAGCGACTGCGGGAGGGGGGTGGGGTAACATAGTCGAAGGCGGCCCACGTAGGAGGAAATCCGGAACCGTGGTCGGGGTTGGGGTTGGGGTTCGAACCGCGCGAGCGAGCCGGTTACGCAAGTGGTCGTACCGAGAGTACACGGTGGTGTCGCGGCGGGGGCGAGCAGTAATGTCACGTGGAGAAAGCAAGGGGGCGCCATGTGGCGCGAGCATCGTGAGACGCCGAGCCTCTGTGAGCCCACCGCGTGTGTGCGGGGGGCTGCGTTTCCTTTTGGGGCTGCCGCCGGTTCGCAGCGATACTGCTGGGCGCAGCGAAAACCGCTAGTGGAATTTCGGGCCCCCTTGGCAGGGGCAGTGGCGAGAGTCAGACGACGCGATGGGTGGCACTTCTCAAGCGCGATGTCTGTCTGGGGTGCGGGCCCCACCCGCCCCATCAGCCGCGAGCGGCCGCAGGGCCCAGCCGAGCCGCAAGTTCCCCTCGCCTCGCAGCCCCAGCCCCAGCCCCCAGCTGCAAGAACGACGGACGGAGGAGAGTCGAGGAGGGACCCGTCGAGGGGCCGAGTGGGGCTTCTGCTGCTTGCGGTTGGATGCCTGCCTCGAGCATAAAACGCAACTCGGGGGCGCTAAGTCCTCTTCTTTTCTGCTTCCCCCTTCATGCTCGTGAGCTGCTGCTGCTGCTGATGCTGCTGGCAAGCTGCCATCAATCCATCCAGTCGAGCTGAGCTGAGCTGAGACACCGAGAGAGAGAGAGAGAGAGGACGGTTGAATGCGATTACTACCTCCATTTCACTTCTACTGCTACTTCTGGTCCGCTGGCTGGCTGGAGTCGATCAGATCTTCCTCCTACCACCATCATCACCATCATCATCATCTACTTACTGTCGTCCGGAGCTCTGGGGCTTAAGGTCTCTTCGCGAGATTTTGGGGCCTGCTTTTGCATCCGACGATATTCCTGCCCTCGCCCGCGGTGTGGGTGGCGGCGACCCAAGAGAAGTGTGGGCAACTTTTACATGATCCATCACTCTGGGAGTGTCGATTGCGCGCGATTCTTCGCCACAGTGCACCATTTTTCACAGTGCACGGGGACCGTGATCACACCACGCACACGCACGAGAAATAGATAAGTGGGTGCTTCTGCCTCGTCGGGCTTCATCGAATCGGACTGGACTCCGAGGACTGGAGTGCTGTAGCGTTAGAGCTCGAGCTAGAGCGAGTGAGAAGAGTGAGAGAGCTAGTGGAGAAGCGACCGGTGTATTTTTTTTCGTTGCACTGTCGTTTTCAGACTGGTCGAGACTTGTCCTCCCTCGACGACGAGTGCGCTTCTGCAAGAAAGATCGTCATCTTGGGGTTCATCTCGTCACCGTCCGAGTGAGAGGGAAGAAAGAAAGAAAGGCAGGCAGGGCTTGGCTTGGCTCGAAAGCTGTTGATAGAAGGTTTTGGATGGACGGGTCAAGGTAAGGAGGGCTAGAGCAACTCGGGGATCCTGGTCTGCACTCTCCTTTGGTTTTTGAAGGAGTTGGGATTTGGACTGCCAACTGTTAAATCGAATTATAACACCATTGCTTACCATCAAAGCACACTCAATTGTCAGAGGGCATTGACGCTGATCGCATATCTTCTACTACATCTACTCCTTACTGTCGTCCTTCTTCGTCCTCCTCATCCTATTCCTCCTCTCCTGCTGCCTCATCCACGAGCACCATCATCATTACATCAGCATCTCTCAACACGGCCCTCGCCCCACTGCGTATTGTGCTCTCGTATTTTTTGCTGATTGGCCTCTGCATTTGGCAAGGTCGCCTGAGCAACAATCACCTGTTTCGCAAGTCTAAGAATCGCCGCCTCTTCTTGCTGTTATTTTTCTCTGAACAGTAGACTGCCAGAGGTGCTGGTTGAGTCAGAGATAGGGAGCCATTGTCTAGAATGGGACGAGCTCCTTGCTGTGATAAGGCCAATGTGAAGAAGGGCCCTTGGTCGCCCGATGAGGATGCCAAACTCAAGGCCTTCATTGACCAGAACGGCACCGGGGGCAACTGGATCACCTTGCCGAGCAAAGCTGGTAACGTCCGCTGCCCTCTGCATTGCTTCCCATGTTTGAATCGAGCTGCAATGAGCTGAATCGTCGAGTGCAATGGCCGACTGGGCCCGAATCGCGAATTTTTATTTCGTGGCCCGAAAAAAAATACAAAAAATTCTTCAGTCCGGCTCGATCACCGGGCGTGGCAATCGGCGGAGTCTAATTTGCTTCTTCGTGGCTCCCTCTGATCCTCTAGGTCTGAAGCGATGCGGTAAGAGCTGCCGCCTGCGCTGGATAAATTACCTGCGCCCTGACATAAAGCACGGCAGCTTCACCGAAGACGAGGAGACGCTGATCTACAAGCTCCACGCGAGCATTGGGAGCAGGTGAGATGTGAATCCTCTCCTCAGTGCGGACTCTCTCTCTCTCTCCCTCTCTCTGTGTCAATGCGGATCGGGCGCGAGATCTCTTCAAGATTGCCTCTAGTCTTTGAGTCGTCGCTACTGATTATGGAGCTCACCACTCTCTGCTGCTTGGTCGCTGGTCGGGTCCTAGTATGAGCGCCTGGCATGCTCATTCTTGCTCCACATCTGCAGGTGGTCTCTGATCGCCGCCAAATTGCCCGGGCGCACAGACAATGACATCAAGAATTACTGGAACACGCGCCTGAAGAAGAAACTGGGCGAGAAATGCCTGGACCAAGCTTCGTCCGCGAGATTCCAGCGCCCGTCCCCTCCGCAGCAGGACAGCTTCACCAGCGAGCGGATTGACGACGTGGTCCCGGCCCCCTGTAAAGCCCCCGCCGCGCTCAACGGCCTGACCGCCCCCTCGGACGGCCTCCTCTCCCCCTTCCTCAAGCCCTCCCACCAGCAGCAGCAGCAGCAGTACTCCAAACTGCACGATCGCACTTTGCTCCGCGACGTTGCGCAAGCGCAAGCGCAAGCCCAAGCCCAAGCCCTCCCCCCTATGACGATGCAGCACCAGCCCCAACCCCAACCCCAACCCCAGCCCCAGCAGCAGCAACAACACCAACACAACCACCAGCAGCATCAACATCAACATCAGCAGCAGCAGCAGCAACAGGTTGGCTTGGTGAAATCCGAGGTCCCCGTGGTGGCGGCCGCGATGGCTGCCGTGGGGGTGGTGTCGACGGACGGAGGCGCCGATGAGGATGCCACGAGACAGCTGATGAGGATAGAGAGCAGCTTGAGGAGCTGCATATCGTCGCACCCTTCGTCGCACCCGTCGCCGGCGTCGTCGTGCAGCGGGATTAGTACAGATAGGAGCACGTATGCGCCCACGGGGGCGCAGTGCGCAGAGAGTTCATACTCGGAGTGCTTGAGCTCGGGCGGCTTTCGCGACGAGCAGCAGCAGCACTGCATTCAGGATCCGGAAGCGCAGCTGACGGCGATCACCTCGGCCGCCTCGCCGACGCTTTTAGGCCATAGTTCCGTCATCCAGGCCGACGTCGGGGGCCGCGGCGCCGAGGTCCCGGCGCTGGAATTCGAGCCCCGGCTCGCGGATGTCGCCGCGTTAGACGACGAGATGCAGGCGGCGCTGTTCGTGCAGGACGAATTGAGTCCGGCGCACTGCAGAAATCTCTTAGGCGTCGTGAAGGCGGAGGACTGCAATTTTGATCGATACGACTGGTGGGGGGCCACGACGGGCATAGTGGCCGCGCCCAAGCACCAGCCCCCCGCCCGCACTCTGATTTCAGCGGCCGTCAAACAACAACAGCAGCAGCAGCAGCAGCAGCAGCAGCAACATCATCATCATCAACACCAACAACAACATCAACATCAGCAGCAGCAGCAGCAGCAGCAACAAGAACAGTTGCAGCTGCAGTATCTGCAGCTGCAATATCTGCAGCAACATCAACATCACCGATACGGGGAGCCGCTGAGCTCCACTCAATTGTCTCTAGATGAAATTTCCATGCAGTGCTACATGAAACCCTCGTCCTGGACCCTCCCGGCCCCGTCCAGCTGCAATGGCAACGCGAACCTGATCTCGATTGCGGATTACAGCAATCAGATCAGACTGCCGTGGGACAGTGCATGGGCCGAGACTCGGTAGAGAGAGAGAGAGGCCAGGCATGGCGTGCGTGCGTACGTGCGTGCGGGCCGTTCTTGTGTACACCACGGCTCGTTTGTTCACTCGATGATTGATTGAACGAACGATGCGTTGGAAGTCTCTAAGGCTCGTCTCGGCACGCACGCCCGCACGCAGCCGTGTGGGTCTCGGGGGGGTTGGGTTTCTTCAGCCGAGCACGTCGTCCAATTTAGTTCCGGGTTAAGTTTTGATGGAAGGTGGCGGATAGCAGCTAGATACTGGTCGATACCAACGGGGTGCAGCATGCTTTTATTTGCCTGCACCCCTCCAACCTTGTCATTGAGAGTTAGCGATGCGCCGAGATCATCTCTGGCATCGGAAAGAGGATACGGCACCTAGCACACAAGTTTACAGGAGCAGGAATCCGAGGAAAGTTTATATTCTTCGACGATTCTTCGGAAGAGTTCGTTAGCAGATCGAGCAGGAGCAAGAGGAGGAGGAGGAGGAGGAGGAGAAGAAGAAGAAGAAGAAGGAACCCCAAGAATCTCTGTTGAGGAGGATGAGGAGGGAGTGAATAACCAGCACCCAGCAACTTCTGATCTACATCACCTATCTCAATATAACGTCAACCGTTCGTTTCGTTTCGTTCGATTCGTTCGTTCGTTCGTTCGTTCGATCGATCGATCGATTTTCGTCGTCGTGTCGGCAGACGACGATGACTGACTGACTGACTGAAGACGACGACGACGACGAAGATAGTGCGCGTTTTAAGCACTCTTGTACAGATGACCAGCGCGACGAGTTTAGTTAGGAAAAGGCCCTCTCGCTTAAAAGGAAATAGTTCTCGAGTCACAAGTCGCCCCGAGTGAGTGAGTGAGTGAGTGGAGTGTACAGCTTAGCTTGCTCCATAAGATAAGCGTCGATTCTTTCAACTCTTTGTATCAAGAAGTGCCTCAATTAGGCATAGTGGTATTGCGCCTCGCGTGCCAGCAGTCGTTCGTGGAGCTCTGCCAGCTGAGCTCAGCTCCCGACTGCCGCCGCAGCAGCAGCACCAGCAGCCGCAGCAGCAGACAATGTGCCGGCACTCACAGCTGCGTGCCGGTGTGGAATAAAGGTGCCATCATCTCCTGTAGAGAACAACAACCCCCTTCACTGCCGCACTCGCCCTAACATCACTATATACACTACGACTCAAGCTGTAATTCGAAGCTTGTCAGCAATCCGGCTGTTATAATGCCGATATGGAATAAAGGTGCCCGCGCACCAGCATCGCTGCTTCTATTCACAGTTCGCTTCATTTCTGTACGCATGCCACTCTCGATGCTTCGGTTCCCGATTTTGTACCGACCCCATTTCTACGTGCACTCAACAGATTCAGTCGTTCCACTTCCACTGCCCCTGGTCCTTCTCTCCCTCCCATTACTGACTCAGGACTGACTGACCCGTCCCCTGACTGGGGTGCCAGCTTCGTCGAGCCTTGCCAAAGCTGTACACGCTTTCATTTATGCGAGATCGAAAAATCCGAATCTAATCCGTCTCGCCTGATCGATCGCTGGCGCCGGCTGCAGACTAGCCGAGCTGCGTCACATTCGCATCAATCGGCTGGTGTAATTTTTAGGGAGGATAATGTATTGACGGTGGAAAGGTGCATACTACCGAAATTTTCTCGATCATGAACGCGAGGAAGAAGAGGGGTAGAAAGGATGCGACGTCGAAAGCTGAAGCAATCAATCGAGTTAGCAGTGTGATAGCGGGTGGGCGGGCCAAGTCAACCCGGCCCGAGCGAGAGATGGACGGATGGATGTCCGGTCGGGCTGGGGGGGCTGCTGACGTCGCGACGTTACCTCGGCCGATGCAGCAGCCAGCGCCAATGCTCGGCAGCAGCGCATTTGGACCACTGCGCGTCTCCACTTACTCACTCGCTCGCTCGCTCGCTCGCGCACCTGGGGGCATATTATGGTCGGCGGCAACTGAAATTCTCTCGCAGCACCTCCGTCTCATCTCATCACATGACATCGGCTCCGGACATGACACATATGCCACCCCCCTCGCTCTGCGCCTGCCTTCCATTCGGACAGCAAGCTGAGCTGATGCGAACAAAACGTCGTGCTCGCAACAAAAGCTAACGTTACTCTGTGATGCATCATGTGCTCGCAGAGTCTGTACGAGGATCGGAGTCTCATCCCTGTCTCGCTGTCTGTCTGTTTGTTTGTTTGTTTGTTTGTTAATTAGTTAGTTAGTTCGGGGAGCTGCGCGAGAGTGAGAGTGAGAGTAAGAGTAAGGGTGAGTGAGTAATTGAGTAATTGAGTGATTGAGAAGTAGAGTGATCGAGGGAGGCAGAGGAGGGGCGTGCCATGCCGTGGGGTAGGGCGGACAGGAGGGAGCGCAGTGACTGGCACTAGAATACGGGCCAAGTCGTTTATCGGCCAACAGATGAGTGAAGTCGACGCGCTGAGAGCCCGAGGGGGGCTGGGACTGGGGCTGGGGCTAGGGCAGCCTGACTGGGGCTAAGGTTGGGGTTGGGGCTGGGGCAGGGGCAGGGGCAGGGGCTGGACTGACGCGACTGGCGCTTGGGATAGTTCTAGAGAGTCACACTTTGCATGTGTGTGGGCACTTGGGAGGGAGCCCCGTGACTGGAGGCACTTGACTTATGCAGCTGGGGCTGGGGCTGGGGCTGGGGGCTGCATCGTCGACCTCGGAGTCTGACTGTCAGGATGGAAGGGCATGGGAGGGGAGACTCGTACATGGCGAGGGAGATGTTCGGATTCCGATCTCAGACCGCCTGCCGTGGCAATATACAATAGATTTTCCTCTCTCAACATTCCTATCTCCGGACAGGTGCTGCTCGAATTCCTCAGATGTGAATCATAATTGGGCCGAAGCAGAATCCAAACGCCAAGTGTGCGAAGTGGACCGGCCCTCGCTTACACTTTGAAGTTGTGCGTTTGTCAACCCCACTGCGATTCGTACCGTGGCATCCCTCCCATCCCTCCCTCCCCTCCCTCCCACACTCGCTGCTGCTGCAGCTGCTGCCGCCTCCTCGAGGGAGGGGTAGAACATGGTAACTCTCCCATTGATTATTTATTATACTGCTCTGAGCTCGATGGAAATCCTCTCTAGATAGGAATGTAGCTGTACAGGTATCAGATAGCCATGCTTTTTGCCGAGTGCTGCTGCTGCTGGTGTTCACGGACGACCTAGGCACCACGTAGTTCATTAATTTATGATGCGCTGCCGCTGCTCCTGCTCTGCCTCTGCCTCTGCAGCAGCAGGCCCGGATTTGCTTAGAAAGGAAAGGCAAGCAAAGCGACCGACCGGCCGTGCACCTGCGCCCTCCCATACCCGTTACATCGAGCACTGCGGGCAAAAGGTCCCGCAGTCGCCATTCCGCCCATTCCTGGTGACAGGACGCCATCCTGCTCCGAGTCTGGTCGCTTTTGGTCGCCCATCGCAACTCGCTCCCTCAATTCCTCCTCCTCTCTCTCTCTCTCTCTCTCTCTCTCTCGCACTCCCCTCTCGTTCAGTGGCCGAGCTGACCCGAGTCTGCGGAATTGGCAACGTCAGGGCTGTTGTTGTCTTTTGAGCTCGTTCGTTTGGTGGTTTGTTCGTTCGTTCGTTCAATGCATCCATGGCGGGCCGTACTGTTGGTTTGCTGCGGACATGATGTAGGCACGGCTTGGCGAGGAGCTCTTTTGCTGCATCGTCGCCCTCCCTCGGCGGTCAAATGGCCGCGAAAAACGAACGACGAGAGCGCTTTTGAGTTAGTTCAACAGCAGGGCACGTGAGGCTTTCATCACCATCTCGGAGATCCCTCGCGACCTTATCTTGTTTCCTCAGGCCTCCAGCCGCCGATGGCCGAGGTTTTAAAACGACCATGGCCAGCCGACGTCGCGCTGGTGGTGGTCGTGAACGAATCGAATGAATGTAGGTCGAATAATCGAATGAGTAAATGAGTAGCCAGCCGGCCATTCAGCCAGCAAGCCAGCAAACCCAAACCCTAGAAAAAACCGCAACATTCCTCAATCCATGATTGAATTTCCTCTCTCAAAAGATCGATGCAATCCGGTCGACACGACCACATCACATTTAGTAGTTCTACTATTCGCCATAATCCTCATCCCGCATCCCTCCCTCCCTCCCTCCCGCCGCCCGCTCAGGTCCATCTTTCTCGATCCGAACACTCGCCCCGCCCTGCGGTCATAAATTGCTGCGCTCTCCCCATAAATCTGGCTCTTCGTCAGCTGTAAATCCGGGTCGGAGCTAAGCCCCTCCCTGCCCCCTCCGCCATCCCTCCTCCTCCTCCTCCTCCTCCTCCAGTGGGCCCCCCTGCATCGCTTTAAAGAGCCTCCGAGAATTGACTCTCGAGTCTCTACTTCTCTTCTTGCCAGCGCCTGTCAACGAGGGGGCCCCATCATCCATAGCTCAGCTCGTCAAATCTTCCTGCCGAAGACACGCAGATTCGGTCCATTTCATTCATTCTGGTTCGGTGTCATGGACTCGGCCCTGTAAATTGTTTATACCCTGTCTTTGTACACGTAGATCCTCTGCCTCCGTATAATCCGATCCATCTGTGGATTGCTGGCGAGACGGATGATGATGATGATGGAAGGTTCGTTCCTTCTGCCTGAGCCTTGCGCCTCGAGGGCCCCATGGCCCGCAGCCCAGCCCAGCCCAGCCCAGCCCAGCCCAGCCATGGATGGGCATGCAAATCCACCCGCATGCCCCCATATGGACGAAGCCCACTGGATGCTCGACGACACACCGAGCATTTTAATCATTGATCCGTTCAATGCGAGGTCTGTACTGCAAATCATTTCCCGTCTCAGTACCATTTATGAGATTCTCGACCACTCCGAGGGCCTGCTCGAATATTTCCCAGCCTTTTCGTCGTAAGCCTCTGGAGAGTCCGGCCCTGGAACTATTCGATCGATCGGAGCGTTATTGTTTCTCAGAGCCCCTCGTTATGATGTCCTCCTCCTTTTCCTCCTGTGCTCCTTGGCAACTCGAGTATTCTTCTGATCACCGGTCCATTAAATTTCTCTCCCCGACCTTATCTCCACCCCTTCTTTCTTTTGAAGCACAGAAGCTCAGATTTGCAATTGTATGGGCTGACCCAACTCAATTTATATACGCAACCATAGCCTACGATCGTGCATGTCGACCTGCTGTCCTTGGACGGGCTCGATCGAACTCCTACGCTCGGCTCGGACTGCCTCAAATTGATTCGCAGGTCCAGCAGCCCCGAAGTCGACCAGCTCCTGCATCCGCGGCGCAGTTAATATCAAGTGCTGGACGAATCTAGAACCGCTCGTAAAGTAGACCATCGATTGTCGTTGACAAAGGAATCGAGTTTTTTCTTACAGAAGTCTTTGAATCCGGGCATGACGTGGTGACACTTTGGAACCAGTGTATGGTACAGCAGCAGGGCAATATTCAGCACAGCTCGTGTACTTGATTCAGTTTCAGCTGTGCTTGTACAACCCTCTCTCTACCTATCAACAAGCATTGACGAAAAATAAAATGTTGGCGATTCGAGGATTCGCACCATTTATTTGCAGAGGCTTCCTAATATTTTCGTGGTTCCGAGGTCCAGAACTTGCTCCTTTTCCAGGATCTTATGATAGAATGGCACCCCCTGGAACATCGACTGATTGATGGATAATTGCCATCGACAGCGTCCTGTTTCTTGGTTCTGTTCAGATGCATTTATGGTTCCTTGCCTTGCCATACTGTATGCAGTTTGAGCTGCATGCTTCATGATCCAACGTACAGAGTGGGTATTCTCGTACACTGTGTATCAAGTCTCGAGAGCAAGAAAAAAACAAATATCTGTGGTCGAGAGCTCTTGATGACTGGCTTATACTTGTTCGTATACAGAGGCTGTTGGCGTAAGCTACGTGCACTTAGATCTCTATAGTAATGAACACATTTCAAAAGTATGGTGTAACAGTTGGTATTGTGCAATATTTTGATAGGTTACATATATATTTTATTCTTTATTTGAAATAGTATGGTTGCCGGTATAACATTTTATTTTGGATTCCGAGTACGAAATACTATTTCTTTCCTTGATATTTTTTGGCATCTAATTATTTTAATTGTAGAAGATTCTCATGTATGTGATACTAGCTCATAATTGGAAACACAATTATTCATCAAAAGAGAATTTTATTCTATGTCATTTCGACTTTTGTCCACAAGTTTTATTTTAATTTTATCTAACCTTTGCTTTGTAAGGAATTCCGAATCTTATGATATTGCTTGTCTTCCCATGCGTCTACTATAT